GCATTTTTCTTTATTTAGGCAAACTTGGCATTTATAAATTGCAATGAGAGCGACACAAAAAGGAAGTTAATTATGGAATGAATTGTATAATAGTCACATGCGTCGTCCTTTTTAGCTAAATTAAGTGTGCAGTCATCTCTGTGCTATTTTCCGTAGGAGAAAAGAACATGAAAGCTGTAACTACCTCTGCAACTTAAAGCCTTGTAAGTAAGCAATTGAAAACATGGCAGCTAATTGAGCTCAGAAATATGGAACAGTAGTAAAACAGAATGGCAACAATAGTAGTAATAGATATTTACAAAAAGGGTCAGTTTCGAAATTCCTTACATATTATGTAGGGGATTGTGACAATGAAAGCTTCCGTGTGGATTTATTTCGAAAACACGTTTAGCTTATACAGACGAATTTCAGTCGCCTGTGTTTTATGTAAAAGTCGGACTCGTAAAGCATATGAAAGACTAGATGCGATAAAATTTTAAAGCTCTGTTAGTGTCGACCTGTCTTGTATCAACGAGGTCAACCAGTGTAGAGTTACGTATCACTGTAGTCAGTCCCTTGCCTATCGTTACTTGCCTAATCTTTCGACCAATTTAACTAGGTTTACGGAAGCATTGAGATGGATAAGGTAGTGAAGGAGATCTAGACAGTTGGTTTTTACTTCACTGAGTATCGGTTAACTGAAGAATGAACCGTACAACCTAGCTCCGTTAAAATTCCTCATGAAGACTTTTCCTGAGTCTGACACAATTTCAATGTTAATTATCGCCTGCGAATCGCTGTCTTAAGAACACTAATTTTACATGGCTGTAGGAACTCGAGAATTTGGTGCTTGTTAAGTACATCTCGAAAATTTCTTAAGACATGTTGTGACACCACACTATGAGCCTCACACTCAGCTTCCGTCAACTGACCTGAGGGTTTTGTGAAGAGCAACACTTGTTCGAGCCAAGATAATTGGTGTTTCAAAATGACATCGCTTGTTTTGAAGATAATCTCCAAGCACACGCAGCCTATCCTCAGATCTCGCCCATTATATCGCCAGTACTAGTGCAACTATCTGGGCCCTCAGACTCAGTTAATTCTAAATGCAAGGATGGGTGCAAGAGCGAGTTCACATCAATCTTCTGAAAATACTTTTCAGCTCAACAATGCAAAGCCTATCCTTAACTTACAGGCGACTGTCGCTAAATGATTACGTTGGATTTGAATCAGTTGTATTTTGCGTCACACTAAGACGTTATCATGTGAAATAAAGATTGTTTTCTGTTCCGAAGGATACCACACCATTACCGCCTTGCACATGGTCCGACTATATCGTTAACGAGGCAAGTCGAAATTCGGTAGTCATATGTAAAGATTAATTTTCGTTTTTTCTTCCTCTTAACATTCTTTCACATGACTTCTCTCTTTTAACTTTGATGTTTTTCTTGTGTGGTACTGAAAATTTGGATTATGCATTTCTGTTCATGGTTTTATGTTTTTCACCGTATCTTTGCTCCAGTTTAGCAAATTCCAGATGAGGTTTTCTTGCAGTTCATCATAATTATTAGATATCCGAAGGCGAATGAAGTGTTTAGTTCGCTTGACTACTCACAGTTGACTGCCAAGTACTTGTTGAAAAATCTTATCCGGTTATATTTACCAGATGTTGGACACTTCATGCATTTTCTTCCACAAATCTATTAGACTATGGATCATAATTTTTCCCGTCTCCGTTTTTTTCCAGCGTGTGCGGCCTTTTCGATACATTGAAACCGTGGCAACAAAATTAGCGACAATAGGACAAATTTATGGCTAGGTAGTCAGTTACATAACTCTTTCACTTGTGTTGTGTTTATAGATATAGACACTTTGACTACTTTCTTTAGACTATATAATACTAGCTTTCTTGGTCACTAGATAATTAGATGTTACATTAGGCGTTATTATATGCATAGTCCGTAAACTTACAACCATGCTTAGCTAGTATTACCGAATTTTCAAACAGCAGTTGTAGATAAAGAGTACCACTCTTCTGCAGCGCTAATTATGATTAGAAAATAAAATAACCCAGAGAAACTTTGTTGGCTTATTTCTCATTCTTTAAACAAGGTTATAAATGTGCATGCAGTTGCCAAAGGTGAGCTTGTTTCGAAACATTTCAAAAGTTGGCTAGATGTCTTTCTTGAACTGAAATGCTATTCAACAACTACTTGTCTTTTCCATACAGGCACTTGCTTTCAAAAAGTCGTATTGCGTTTTCTTGTATTTTCTTCTGTTAAGTTAGATGAATAAGATAATGAAAAGCGAAGTACTCTTTTAATAAAATGAGGTGAATTAGTGGGACGTAATAGTGTCAGTGACGCTACCAACTGCATATTAAAGGCTTTAACGTTTGGATACTATGCCAAGTCAAGACTTTGGCGTCTTGGGATTCGGTTGTATATTTTATCTCACTCCACCTGGCGAACATAGTGCATATACAAAGTTTCCCTTATGGGCATCACACAATTCTATACCTAATTCTCGCTAACTTGTTAGCATAGAAATAGCCTCGAGCTCAGGAGCGAAAAATCTGCTTCCCGATTCAACCCCAGTAGACGACCGTCTGTGATGCTAGAGAAGATCTGTACCTACGTGCCAACTGATTTCACTTCTGATGAGGTTAGGAATGAGTCTTATCACAAGCTGTCCAGTTTGCTGGTGCACTCATACTAACAGGTGGCAATAATGTCCTGGGAACGGAAATCGAGCCAAATTAAGAATATTAGGGGCGTTTGTGTTGTCCCATAGTGACAAACTGGCAGTGCTCAGATAACTGTACTGCTGGCCAGCACTCACTTCAAACATAAGGAGAGGCATTGTCTTATTTAGCAGTATTTTTTCGGGATGTTAGGGCGATTGTTACTTCCCGGCTGCCCACACTGTGGAAGTTGGTTGCGTGACCGCAAAGCCCAGGGGACAAGTGCTTTAGGCCGGTCACACGCGGCCTGTTTTTGTTTGTTCTTCTTCATTTGGTGTGTCTCAGTAGCGTATTCATCACTTCTGCCCTGTGACACGGCAGCAGGAAGCGCAGTCGTTGTTAATCCGGGCCCCGACCGATCCGGCATGATATTTTGTGATTTACTTTGAGTCATAGCATTGGGTTGGGTAACTGCTTTTTGTCTAACCGCTATCCAAACAACCTTTCTGGCATGGTAGGACCTCAAGCGACATAAGTCTCAGCGAGTATAGCTTGTTGGGTCATTGTGGTGTTCAAGCCCGACCACCACGTCAAGGTAGTAGCTTTCGGTCGGGGTGTGGTGAGAGATGGTTGCTAGCCAAATTGGTTGACAGTAATTGAGGTCAATGTTAGTCATGTGAAAACAAGGTCAAGATGGACGGGCGGATACAGTTAACATATAGATGAATTGACACAGCCACAAGAGATGCAAGGTTAACTTTGTGTGAGAAACAACCAATCAACAGACTGTATTTTCTACTAACATTAACTTACAATAATGTACATCAAAATCTATAAATATGTGTTGATTTTCTGTAATAAACGTTCTGTTGCCTGGCCTTTGTCTTCTGTTGTTACAGGGGTATCTAGCAGATGTCAACATCAAGTCAATGCTGGACAAAAAAGACCACTTTTCTATAATTTATCAATATGGAGGATTAGTGGGAGGTTACTGCTTCTTTCCAGACACCTTTCTAAACTCCTAGCATTCATTAGTCCGTAAACGTTTATGTCTGAAATTGCTTAGCTCAATATCAAAGCTATTTAATTTCATTATAGATGTACAAATGAATGACCCTTACCGACTTCTATATCTTAGAGACTGACTTTCAACCAGGGAATAGTCTCGCTAATCTAGAATATGGAGACGATATAAAGTCCAGACGCTAAAAAATTCTAGCCTTCTGAATTCTTCGAGCAAAGAAAGTAGTATTTTTGGCATGCAACTCGCCCCAGTCAAATGTAGGATGATACCTCAGGACTGATCTAAACTAATTCCTAGTTTAAGGATGAAAAAATAAGTAGTTGGTCGTGTTGACCAGCCTTAATGGACTGATCGCTGATGAAATCTCAGCTTGGATAAAAAAGGTTCGTCTGACCTCTGTCATCTTGCGTCATCTTTGGCGCAACCGTGATATCTGGCTGCCGCTCAAAGATTGTGTACTGTGCAGCAACCCTGCCGTTCTCAACGGCTGTCGGATATGATCGTTGGTGTTCGGAGGTATGACGAGACTAACTGTCTTTGGCAACAGTTGCTTCCGATCACTTGCTCCCATTTAGGTGGAGGAATATTCTCAGTAGTAATTTCAGCTGTATTCTCCGGTAAGAAGGAGGAGTTGTAAATTCCCGTCCTTTCTGGTGGTTGTGAGCCACCAACTTTTATATGTGTTGTTCCTTATTGTAACAACTTGGAGTGATGAAGCGTTGTGCTAAGTCCCACACCTACAAATCAGTCAGGTGTGTTGTTGATTGGCAGGCAAAGTTTTGGTGCTTGTGTGGTTGCTTTTGGTGTTACATATTCTCAAGCCCTGTAGTGAACAGCAAAGCTGAAGTTGTCATTCTAAATTCAAGTGTCAAAGCTAACTTCAAACAAGTGTGCTGTAATTGCGCACCTGGTAAAATCATCACATTATAGATATGACTGGAAAGTGACCTAGGGACTAATTTCTTTGTGAAAGATGAAGTTAAAAGGCTGTAATACTTGTGTTCATGTATCATAAGTTACAGTTATGTTTTGATTTGGTTTTTGCTTGACAATTCGCCATACATTTACGCATTCTAAGAAGATGCTGATCTAGTTTTTTAATACTTGCAAAGTTGAAAAGCATATTTATACCTTGCTACAAAGCTACAACTATATTTAACTTCCTGAGGATATGGCTAAAAAGTTTTGATAACTTCGAAAATCCATCTCGAAGATAGTGCAACGATTTGTTCGTTTTGCAGATGACTAATATATTTGAATTTCTCATTTTGAACTCCTCACTGTTCCGCTTTGTTTGTTCACTCTTCTCAAGTTACTTAAAATCATGCGTTCCAGTGCCTACTATATTGCTGATTACATAAAATACTGAATGATAGTTATACCGAAATGTTTTCCCTCACTACCACCTCGCTGTTATTTTGAAATTAAAATATTAGTGGATGTTATGTTGTAATGGCCTAGTGTAACCTGTGATATTCTGCCTTACAGTTAAACTCGGCAACTTCCTAACATAATTTTTTAGGTGGACATCCTGATGACATCTGAAACAGCTGAACAAAAAATTACTCATGCTTTACAAATAGTGACTGGGAATGTGGAAAAATACTTCACGTAAGTAGTTGTAAATCTTTTTATGATTTTTTAGACAACTTGTTGAGGATATATGCTGCTGTGTAATAACGAGGGAAGCAGTTTGGTTTGAAGATACTATCAAAAAAGTCATACCTAATTTTGAAAAGAGTACATCTGATGGAATTGCAGAGATTCTTTCTCAGTATAACGTAAATAACAAAGCTCTTTTATTGGCCGAAGCTAATGAAACATTAAAACGCTCTGAATCATGGTAAACTACTTCTCACGTTACACTTAAAGTGTTACAGGCGACCTTCTGGAGATCCGGAAAAAGATATTCGAGCTCATCTTCTCCCTCTCAACAAATCTTTTCTGGCAAGTCTGACTCCTATTTCCCGGAAGTTGCGCAGAAAAACGAGAAGACGTTTCGCCAAATTGAAAAGGCTGCGTTGTACCCTGCATGATGAAATAACTGAATTTCAATCGATTGCAGAAAAATTACAAAAAGTAGGTTGGTCGATTTCTGGAGATATTTTTATTACTGTAAACAGTTAAATGTGAAAACCAAAACAGGTGTACTATATATATATATAAATATATACATATATATATATACATATGTATATAATTTACTCACCGAGTTACGAATGATGGTTTATTTATTACGGAATTATCTATTCTCAAAATATCTTACTGGAATTTAATGGATTACAGTTCAGATTGCCGTGTATTCTGCATACTTATGTTGGTGAGTAGGGCACTAAACTGGTCTGTCTGTCTAGATTCAAAATAGAACTTGGCACCAAAGTGCAGCAATTCGAGTTGCCACGTTCCAAATAGCACACAAAGGCAGACAAGAAGATGAGTGAGGAGAATCAATAGAGTTTTGACAAGTATAAGAGTGAAACAGAATGAGTAATGGTAGAAAGGAATATGAAAGATTACAGAGACTGAATACATCTGCGTAAGCCATTGACAACGATTTTGAGCCATGTCACCTATTGTTGTCTCCAGCCATTGATTCTTAGAGTCCCGAGGGTCCCAACCCGGAAGGAGTCTGCATCTCCCTACCTGACTGACTCAGTTTAACTGCCAAGGATTTCATGGATTGATGAGGCCATGATTTGTTTGGCCACCACTTACTCTCTTCCAACCTGCACCTATATCAGCTAGTAATGCCCGTCGGGGAGGGGGCGATGGTTAGGCAAACGCAGCACGTGACTTAGCCATCTCAACCTATGTGACTTTATAACCTCGTCGATTGATCTTCCCTCTTTACCGAACACTCAACGCCTAACGTCAATATTACTTGCCTTATTATACCACCTAACGTGAGAAAGAGATCGTAGACATCTATGATCAAAAACAGTCAACCTTTTCATGTCTTCAACTCGTATTGGCCATGTTTCAGAGCCAGCTATAGAGAAGGACGGAGCGAACTGCTGAGCAGTACACACGTCCCTTGGTTGATAACCGGGTGTCACGCCTACGCCAGAGATGGTGTAAGTTAGCGAATGCAGCTCGAGATTTTGGGATCCGTGCTGAGATTTCGTCACCAATCAGTCCGTTGGTGCTGATACAACTTCCCAAATAGGTGAAGTGGTCAACATGTTCTATCACTTCATTCCCTATCACTAAGCTGGGGGTAGACGTAGTCCAGTCATTCCTGTAGCAGCATCTTACATTTTTTACAAGGGCGAATCGCATGCCAAACATACGATGATTGCTGCTCAAGGTGTTCAAAAGACTGCATTTTGTCAGCATCCTCCCCTAACAGGACTATGTCATCTGCATATTCTAAGTAAGTCCATAAGACTATTCTCCTGGTAACATGTCGATTCCTAAGTCGTTAAGTTCAGTTAAGGATACTTCCATTAGCATATCTATGATGAAGTTAAACAGAAATGGGGAAAGTGGACATCCCTGACGAACACCACTGGTTGTTATCAATTCAGATGACAATTTCCCCCCATAAGCCCTTACACGGCTACGTGTCGTCAGTGTTTGTTAACCTTAAAATAACTTTGTATGGTGTAAGTTAGAACTTTTTTTAATGATATGTGAATTTCGCTTTAGCCAAAATTTTCTACTAATTCTGTTATAGTTAAAATAGGATATGCATTTTGTTGAGCTGTGAATACACAGCGTCTACTCTATAGCTGCTGTGGTGGTAGTATTTCTCTGATCTCATGACTCAGAAAACTATGTTAATCATTGACTTTTGACCTTAATTTCTTTCCGCAAACTAGAATAAAAACAACCGGCCGTCCATTCCTACTAACTTACTTATCCAAGAGATGTTAATCCATGGTGAAAACCACTTTCGGATAAGCATCAAGTGGTGTATAAACTCTGGACCACTTCTTTCTTTTCTTTCTCAGTATCAGTTAATAGTTGTAGTGTTGTCCTTTTAAGAGCATACTTATTTAATACTACTCTCTCGTATGGAAAATGACTATTATATTATTACTACTATTATTGATTCCTTTAATTCCTAGAGGAACATAGGGCTTCAGCAGTGCGTGCGTCTCCATTGCGTTCGGTTCTTTGCTAGAGTCTTCATCTGGCTCCAAGTCTTCCCACACGTTTTCATCTCCTCTTCACATGACCTCCTCCAAGTCACCCTTGCACTGACGACCAACTCGCCGCTTCCATTTCGGGTTCCACTCGAGCAATGTCTTGTCTAGTGATGTCACTTGATGGTATGTTTTCTCAGAGTATGGCCAATCCAATCCACCTCCATTTCTTCCTGTATATTTGTTGCACAATCGGTTCCTCCCGGGTTGGTTCGCTCCCAGAGATCTCCGTTGCTGATCTTTTCTAGCTGGCCATCTGATCTTGAGTGGTATTGAGCGAAGACAACTGTTAATGAAGGTCTGTAGTTTGTTTGAAGTGCTCTTTATGACGCGCCAAGTCTCTGATCCGTATAGTGAGTAGCACTGACTTCACATTGGAGTTGAAAAGCCGGACCCCATATTTGATTCTGAGTGCTGTTGACCTCCACACCGACTTGAGAGTAGTGAAAGCTTGTCTTGCTTTTTCGATTCTTGCTTTGATATCCTCGTTAGTTCCGTCCGCCTGTAGTTGAAACGATGCTTCCCAGGTAGGTAGAAGAGGTTGTTTCTTTCAGGTTCCTTCCATTTATGCTGATCGTTGTCTGTTGTTGTTGTTCTTGTCCAGGAATCTTCACCTCTGTTTTCTCTATGTTCACCTGAAGTCCCTCCTATCTTCTCTGGATGTTTCTTCTACCAAGTTGTTGCTTTTCACTTGCATATCTTCCAGTTTGTGGGAAATCAGACATATATCATCAGCGAAGTCCAGATCTTCCAAGTTCTTTTTTCATGAGGGTCCATTTTATGCCTGTTTCCTGATTGCCCGCTGTTTTTCACATTATCCAGTCTACTGCAATCAAGAAAATCATTGGCGATAGTAGGCAGCCAGCTTGTCTTACTCCTGCCCTTACTTCGAAGGATTCGGTAGGTTTCCGTTGTGGATTACTTGGCATGCAGCATTCTCGTACAGCTGTTGGATAAGATGTATAATTGTCGGTGGCACGCCGTAGTAGCGAAGTAGTTGCCAAGGCAGCTCTCGATTGACGCTGTCAAATGCTTTTTCAAATTCAATGAAGTTGAGATAGAGAGGTGACTGCCATTCCAAACTTTGCTCAATGATGATCCGTAATGTACATCAATACATGACTTGTGTCTTTGAAAGATTGTATATTTCACGTTTAATGAGAGCGCTAACATCAGTAACATAATTAAAATGTTTTTTGGGAATAAAATAATTCTGGGGCTTCTAGTTTCTGCTGTTTTGTACTTCACTACTGAGGTTAGGCGTCGAGTGCTAGATAAGGAGGGGAAATCGATCGACGAGGCTGTGAAATTACATCGACTGAGATGGTTAGGACATGTGTTACGTATGTCCAGTCATCGCCTTCCTCGATGGGCAATGTTAGTCAGCTGACACAGGGTCAGGCTGGAAAAGAGCTAGCTAGCGGCGGTCAAACGAAAACATGGCCTCATCAGTCAATGAAATCTACAACAATTAGTCTAGGTCACATAGGAAGGTGTAGACTGCTGTCTGGTTAGGATCCTCGTGATGGTAAAAACCAATGGGTGGAAACAATTGGTGATATGACTAGCTCAAAATCGTTCTCAATCACTGGCGCAGATGCATCCACTCCTTGTGACTTATGATTTCCAATGAAACTGTTTTGTTCTTTGTTATTACTCTACCTTTGTCTGACACCTCTGTTTACTGTCTATATTATGCATTTCTTCGCTTGCTTCGTGTGCTACATGGGGTGCGGAGACTTGAACTGCCGCACATCGGTGCAAAGTTCTATGTCGAAAACAGACAGACAGACAGACAGTACTTCACTATCCTAACTGTGAGGCCCTGTTTGTTTTTAGTAAATTACAGGAGGGGCTTGTTTTTGCATCAAAAAACATTTTACCCTCGTTTTAATTATTTACCTATTTCTATGTTTGTTGTTTATTTGTTTGTTTTTTTGTTTTCAGTTAACACTGGCTATGGAAGAAGCTCCACCGCATCTCCCCCCAATTGACACCGTCTCCCTGACACCCTCACCTGACACTGAAAATGATGAGAATGAGAAAAATATATAATCCGTATTGTGGTAATAAAACTTACCATTGTCTCGTCGTTGAATTTTGAATTTGTTGACTGACAGGTTAGATAAAATAATAAAAAAGAAAAGAAGAAGAAGACGGGAAAAATCAAACTTTTCTTTTTTTCACAATTGGAGCAGGTCAGGTAGATCATGTCTAGTTAGTTAAGGATGTGTGTGTGAAAAGTGATCACAATCTCGGTATCAATTACATATATATCTTGAGTCAGAGAGAGAGAGAGAGATGATAGACATCTTGGGTTTTCGTCTTGTTAGAGATGATGGATGGATGGTTGGTAGCAGTGGAGTGTTGGCTGTGGAGGCTGTGTTGTTGGGAGGCACGGAGTATGCAATGCTGCAACCTTCAGGTCAACGAACTTTAACTTTCAATTCTACTTTACTCTACTCTACTCTATCTCTGTCGAATTTCATTTTCGATTGATAATTTCGTCAAAATTCAGATGTATCTCTTTTTTAGCTCTGCTTAACCTGAAAACACTCACTGTTCTGTGAAGACTAAGAAATACGACCAAATAGTTGAAGGAGAATAACTTTTTGGTAACAGAAATGCTTTTTTGAGAACTTCCAGCTTCTTTTTTTCATCATCATCATCTAATAATTGTGATTAGAGTTCAGTAGACGTGACCAAGTTCTGAAGGGAAGTTGACGTAAAAGCAGAGAAGTGTAGACCATTAATTAGTTCTCAATTATTATATGCGTGAGTGGCAAATTATTGACTTCACATTTTGTGTTGACCATGGCAGAGGTCGCCAATGATTTTCCTGACTGCGGTGGACTGGATAATGCGACAGACAGCGGGCAATCAGGAAACAGGCATAACATGGACTCACACAAAAAGGAACTTGGGGGATTTGGACTTCGCCGATGATATATGTCTGATTTCCCACAAACTGGAAGATATGCAAGTGAAAAGCAACAACTTGGTAGACGAAACATCCAGAGAAGATAGGAGGGACTTCAGGTGAACATAGAGAAAACAGAGGTGATGAAGATTACTGGGCAACACCACCAACAGCAGCAACAACAGACAGACAACAATCAGCATAAATGGAAAGAACCTGAAAGAAACAACCTCTTCTACCTACCTGGGAAGCATCGTTTCAACTACAGGCGGACGGAACCGATGAGGATATCAAAGCAAGAATCGGAAAAGCAAGACAAGCTTTCACTACTCTCAAGTCGGTGTGGAGGTCAACAGCACTGCTCAGCATCAAAAATAAGATCCGGATTTTCGACTCCAATGTGAAGTCAGTAAGAGTTTGTAAAATCTCCGAGGATATATATTAGTCTGGAGACATTCTTTCAAGAAATCTCTACGAGCAGAGTGTTTAGCAATCCTACGCCTCAATTTCACTAGATCATTTAGTGCATCGATAGCGTTTTCTGGGAGGTGCTTCTTTAAGAATTGAAAACACTTATTTCCCGATGCGAATTTAAAACAAACAACAAAGGTTAATAATGTAATGATAATGTAATTTCAATAGTATATAGATCCTCCAATGTAGAGTATTCAGCTGGGGATGAGTTCAACCAAAATTTTGATGAATGCATCATGGAATCTTGCTTTATTAGCCTTTGTTGCTTGTTTTAAAATCCGTATCGGGAAATAAATGTTTTGAATCCTATATTTGATTGCATTTACGTAGTCTGTAATTAATGTAACTCCACCGGTTTCACAGTTGGATTTACAGCTTGACACCTGTCTGGATCATTCAAAGTCATGGCTTCTACCATGATATTCGTTACGCAAAAGTCCATTAACGCTATCTTCTCTATGACCAACTAGTCCCAATTGATCATTCGAACGAATATTCTGTACACCCACACTCAGTGAGGAAGGTAGCTGGCTCTATGGTTGAGCTTATCCTTTGTTGCTTCAAGGTTATAGTCTATTTGACTGCCTACTAATTCTTACCCTCTGTGAACGGACATTGCAGCAGATTCGGTTAAGCAGTACAACTTTGGATTTGGAACTCATTGCGATATCAACAAAAGCCATTAGGGTGGAATCTAAGTGAAATCTGTATAAAACGGACTCTAGAAGCTGACTTATGAAGAGGATAAAGTGCGCAGGTCTGCACCGCACGTATTTAGTACGGCCTACTAGTATTGTCAAAGCTTATGTGGGTGGAGCGTTGTTCACACATGATTCACTGGTTGAAACTTGAGCGTCTATATCGATGAACCGCAATGGCTTATTGAATTACCCCTCCACTGGTCAACAGAAAAATGATACGTCGGTACGTGTCTGGTGATTGTGTGTACAAGTTGATATTATGCAGTTCCGTATGTGTGTTTATTCGGTAAATGACAGTATCATTTACTGGATGATGTTTTGAACACAATTCATTGCTCATAATCATGTCGACTGTAACTACACACACACTCTCTCTCTTGGAAATGCGTTTTTATACATTTTCTTCTTTTCATTTATCGTAAGAATAGTGGCGGTTTTGAGAGATTTAGGGAATGTGAGTAAGGTGCGTATTAGAAGCGATAGAAATACAGTATACATAACTGTGGCAACACATATTTAAAGAGGCATTTGAAACATCCTTATTGCAGCCAATGTATAAAGAAAGAATTTCTGAAACTTTGTTGATGGATTTTCTTCTAGACAAAGTGGTATGCAGACACGCTCAGAAATAAACTGTCTTGCCTAAAACAATCATATGTGGAGCCGATTAAATCCGTCCGTTCATTGATTACTATGAAATGAATATTGTGTGAAATTCACAGGTCAGAGTAGTAGTAGTAGTCCGGGATCAGTTGTGTTAACGAAGCACAAAAGTTTAGCGAAATGTAAACTAGTAGACTGTTTATCTTATAATTGTTCCCTTGGGTTCCTAGTGGGACATTGGGAGGGCTTCAACTACACGCCTCCACTTGCTTCTGTCTTCTGCTGTACTTTTCACCTGCATCCATGTTAGTCTATGCTGTTTCAACTCCTCTTCACACGATCTCCTCCATGTCACCTAAACTTGGACGTCCCACTCGCCGCTTCCCTTTCCGGTTCCACTCGAGTGATGGCCTGACGTGTGATGTCACCCAGCGGCCTCCTCAGCGAGTGTCCAATCCATCTCCACTTTCTCCTGCATATTTGGTTGTTTTGGCGATTGGTTCTTGGTTTGTTTGTTTCTTCCCATAGTTTCTTGTTGGTGATTCTTTCCGGCCATCTGATCTTGAGTATAGAACGAAGACAGCTGTTGATAAAGGTCTGCAACAGGCTGTTGGAAATATTCTTTGTGACCCACTGGCCAAGTTTCTAATCCGTATAGAAGAACTGACTGACTTGACGTCGTTTGTATTGAAAATCCGAATCACTTTGTTGTTGATGCAGGCTGAGTGACGAAGATTTCCAGATTGGTTTCAGGTTGATGAATGTGTTTCTCGCCTTCCCGATTCTCGATTTGACATCCTCGTTCCTCCGTTTCTCCTGTAGTTGAGACAATGCTCCCTAGATGAGTAAGTGAATTAAGTAACCTCTTTGAAATCCCTCCCGTTGATGGTGATTGACACTGGATGTTGCTGCTGCTGTTGTTGTTGTTTGGTTATTCTCATAACTTCCGTCTTGTCTATGTTCACCTGGAGTCCCGTCTTTGCTGCTTCTTCGACCAGTTTGTCGGTTTTCGCTTGTAAGTCTTCGATTTTGTGTGACATCAAACACAAATCATCCACACGCGAAATCCAGGTGTTCTAGGTTCTTCACGCTGGTCCAGGATATCCCTGTCTTCTCGTTTCCCACTGTCTGACGCATAATCCAGTCCAGTCCACCACAATTAGGAATATCATTGGTGATAATAAGCAGTCAGCCTGGTCTGACTCCTGTGTTTACTCCAAACGCCTCGCTGAGTTTTCCGTTGTGGATCACTTGATATGTGCCGTTGTCGTACAGCTAGCTGTTGAATAAGGTTGATGAATATTTGGGGTACGCCATAGTACTCGAGTAGTCTCCAAATTACATCGCGGTCAACGCTGTCGAAGGCCTTCTCAAAATCTATAAAGTTGAGGTAGAGGTTTGATTGCCATTCCATGCTTTGTTCTGTGATGATGATGCGTAGAGTTGCAATTTGGTCAGAACATGATTTGCCTTTCCTGAATCCAGCTTGTTCTGGTTGGCGGAGTTCTGTATCCAGTGTGTCCTTTATTCTCTCACCAGGATTATGCGACTCAGGATTTTACTTGGCGTCGACAGGAGCATGATTCCTCGCCAGTTCTTGCAGAGTCCTAGGTCGCCCTTCTTTGGTAGTTTCACAAGGTAAGTAGACTGTACTTGGATACGAAATCTAGAAAAAGCCTTTGCTATAGCAATGGGATTATTAAGTGTCAGTCCTGAAATGCAATACAGCAATGTGAGGAAGCGGCAGAATAATAATAATAAGTAGAGCTTTATTGAACAGGTGAGCCGAGAATACACGTGGCAACACTGCTTAACTCTGTTGTAGTCGTCACGGTTGATTTTAGTCCGTTTTTTGTTTTATAGACATATTACACAATGAAAAGGTATTATTCGCTGTAGAACATTTCGAACACGGTGTGTTGTTCATAATCACTTGAAGTGTAATTGCATGACTTTGCAGCCTAATTTTTATAGTTCTACTTCCCTTTCAAAAAGTCCCCAAGTAACGCTAGCATTTGGTCCGGTTCGGTCGCTAGGACGGATGGGGTATAGTGAGACTTGATTAAGAATAGAAGAAACGGTGAGAGTGGGCTTAATAAGAGGTGGTTTCTGAGAGCTGTCTAGAAGTATCGGCGTTGCATCGAGGGTGACCTGATTGTGGGAAAGATCTATGACAGCAGAGTGTCCAGTAAGAAAATCGACGCCGAGGATCAGGTCCCATGTGATTTCGGGACAGATAAGAATACGGTGGTCGTCTACTAGGTTCCCCAGGTGTAGCTATAGGTTGGTGACTGCTTGGGTATCTATTTTAGCGCCGTGGTTAACACATTGTGAGTGGGGACAGGGGGTGGATAGTGGGTCAACCGGTGTAGGAGGGATGTCCGTACTAGGGACACTGATGCCCCAGTATCCAGTAAGATCGTAGCTTGCACA